TATGTGACAGCATTAATTAAAGTTTCTTAAGGGTCAAGATCATGTTATCTGCATCTCCTGCAGTTCCATCAAGCCACTCCCATAATATCTGTCACCACTCAAATTAATGCACGACTCTACATTATCTGTATAGCATGTGTGTAAGACTCCAATACAATTATGAAGTAATAATTTTATGACGAATAAATATTTCAGTGAGTAAAATTGGCTGTGTCTATAGTATTAAAGACTACACAACATTGTTATATTATCTTTAAATTATTTTTTAATTATTATTATTTTAAATGATTGTCCCTGGATTAGTAGGGTACTCTTGTAATAAAGTAGCGGTGGCTGGGACAGATTTTAAGTATCAATTCTGCTTAAAAAGATGCAATCTAATCCTGTTTACATGAAATAAGCTGCTCCGGAGCAGATTTAAGTTTACGGACCTGTTGCTATTACAGCAACTCCAGGATGAGCTTCGAAGAACCAAACAATCCAAGATCACGCCACATCATCAACAATCAAATCCAGCTAACTGAGTTAGCGACGTAAGAAGAACGGGCCCCTGGTCACCAAAGTTCACTGTCCTCCAGAGTTTAGTGCCAGTGCTGAAGGAAATACACAGTTTGATCAGGGTTTGAGCAAAATGCAGCACTCTTTACCAACAAACAGCTGCTCAGAATTTGCAGTGTTAAATTCAGTTATAAAGATACAGAGACACAGATGAGCCATAAACCCCAAATCCAGCATAGAGGGGTTCAGTGAATGTGGTGTTGAATGTGTGTAAGTGTGTGAGTGTGTGTGTGTCAGAGATGATGTAGAAGGACAGAGTGCCGGCCGACCAGTCCAGATACACTCCTACTCTATTAGAGCAAGACGAAGGGGCTGATATGGTATTGCTTACATTATTGTGACAGACATTGGATCTGTTTTTAGAGTAGAAGAGACTCCAGGATTTGTCATTGTATCCAAACCAACAGTCACTCCCACCTTTCCTGTTCATTCCCTTATATGTCACTGATATAACAACCTCCATTCCACTCCATTCAGCCTCCCAGTAACAGCGTCCAGTCATACTCTCTCCACACAGAACCTGCTCATGGTGATCAAATCTCTCTGGATGATCCGGATATGACTGCTTGTCTTCAACACGCGTTGCCTTTTTGTTTCCTTCAGACAGGATGAGTTTAGTGTTTGCTGTGTTTGGATCCAGTGTGAGATCACAGGCATCTGAACAAACACAAAAAAACATGATAAATGTTTGCAATAGATTACAACACCTTTAATGTGTGTGGGAGAAAATGAGAGACCTACATTTTCTCAGTCCTGGTGTAAGTCTAAAATAGTTTCTATGGTCCAAACTAGAAAGAGACAAATACACACAAAACAAATGGTAAACTGATTGCTTGAAAAGGGCTTATGGAATGTATATGCACTCTCAAAGAGGATGTGTTAATAACACATTTTTGTGTTATGGCCATTTTAAGCAGAGGTGTAAAATCCAGGTTCAGAAAGTAAAAGTTCTCCACAGTATTTTGTTCCAATCACCTGGATTTGCTAATTAGCACAGTTTTTCAGCCAGGAGATCAGAGACGGGACCAAGTCATTCCTTTCAAGTCACAAGCAAGTCTCGAGTCAAATCCCAAGTCCTCAAAGAGTTAAAGTTAATGAGATAATTAAGTGACTAATTAAATGATGATTGTGCATTAGTGATGAACACCTGCTGTTAACAATCAACATCATTGAAGAAAAGAGAAACTTGGGAAAAAGACTGGGAAAAAGACATTAAATCTCTCAAGATCTGATTAAACAAGTCCACAAACAGCATCACCAGCTTCACATTACTAACTGGATTGACTTTATTTTATGTCTGCATAATATCTTATTGAGAATTAACAGAGATTTAGATGTTGATTTTTTATTGGTCAAGAAAAGAAGAAAACACACATGCCATCATAATTGTGGTCAAGGTTTGCTTTAGTTTGTCTCTTGACTCTTTTGATAATTTACAATAATTTGCTTCTAAGCAAATGCAATATTGCTTCACAGCAAACATTTGTGCATTGCTGAATCAAACCTTGAAGTAGCAGATGAGCTTAGACTTTCTGCCTGTAACTCACGATTAACAAACATCATGAAGTAGTCTCACTTTGGTTTATTGACAGACATTCAGCTATTACAGAACTTCAAAAAAAAAAAAAGTCCTATTAAACAAATACCACTGTAATGCTTAAATATTGAGAGAGGAAAAAAAAAGTAAAAAAAACCTGTCTCAGCTTAGGCTTTTAGACATGTACACTTTTATCATATGATCCTCAACAGTGGTGACAATAATTATTCATGCTGCAGTGCATGATGGGAGTTTTTACTATGGTGTTACCCAGCATGCATTGCAGCATGAAGCATTTTATTGATTGTCACCATTGTTGAGATTCATATGCTGGTTCTTGATGTCTGTGTGTGTCTAACTAATATTGGAGTTCATTTTTTTAATGCATTACGTAGATTTAAAATTCATTCACTGTAACTATTAGAGCAACACTTTCCTTGCATGCTGTAGTTTCACTGGGTTGATTATGCAAAACCTAAACACATAAATGAAAAAAGAAAAAAAAAGTTACTCTGAATGTAATCAGGCCAGCTCATGATGACTATGTCATCATATAAACACTGCTAATATCTTCTCTCTGCTTTACAACACCACATGCATTATTACAGAGAGAGATCTAATGCCCGGTTCAGACTACACAAATTAAGCCCGAATTTGCCACGATTTGCTTGACGTAGGGTGTCGTGGGGATTCGTAAATGACAATGGGTGTCGGGACACAAGATTCCATCGTTTCGGCACGTGTAGTGTGTCATAGTGGACGACAACCGATTCCGCGCGTCTGCGACGCTTCAAGACATCACGACAGAAAGACTAGCATGTTTCATTTTTTTTCCATTGTCCACGACGAGTTCTGTCACATTGGTGACGTTGACCAATAGCAGCACAGAAGCTCTTTCATACACAGGTTTCAAACATGGCGAAACGAAGGAGAGATGATGGTGCTGCTAGGTGGAATTATGAGATGGAGAAAAGGTTCGTGGAGCTGTGGCAACAGTACTCCTGCCTGTATGATGACTACCACGACAGAAGAAAGAAAGAAAAAAGCCGGCGAACTATAGCGGAAGCACTTTAGCAATGTTTACACTCTAGTTTTCGGAAGTCAGTCACTAGTTCCGCCTTCTCAATGACATCACACGCATCGTTAAAGACAACATGCGATGAATGGTTGGGAAGCAACGTGTAGTGTGATGTGTTTCTTGTCCACGACACGACAAGATTTTAAGAATCAAAATCGTGTAATCTGACACAATGACTAACGTGACTGACAAAAATATCATGTAGTCTGAACCCAGCATAACAAAAGAGTCAAGGGTCAAGAGCCCAACTAAAGCAAACACTGATCTCCATGATGATGGCATCATTTTAACCAATAAAACATCAGCATCTGATCCTCTGTAATTCTCAATAACAGCAGCTGTTCATCACTAATGCACAATCATCATTTAATTAGTCACTTAATTATCTCATTAACTTTAACTATTTGGGGACTTGGGATTTGACTTGAGACTTGCTTGTGACTTGAAAGGAAAGAGCCCGTGTTCTTTGAAGCTCATCCCGGAGTTGCTGTCATAGCAACAGGTCCGTAAACTTAAACCTGTTCTGGAGCAGCTTATTTCATGTAAACAGGATTAGATTGCATCTTTTTAAGTGGAACTGATATTTAAAATCTATTTTACTCATCTGATGTCCTTACACACAGCAAAATCCCCAGAGTTAAATCAACTCTGCTCAGAGTACATATTGTCCCAATCTACAGAGTGTTAAAGTAACACTGAAGCAGAGTTACCACTGTTGAGGATTATGTGATATGTTTTCATGTCTAAAAGCCTGAGCTGCAGCTGTTCATCTTCAACATTGTTAACAGCGGGTTTTCTTTACTAATGCTCACTCATCAATTAATTAATTGCTTAATTATCCCATTAACTTTAACTCTGCTTCAGTGTTACTTTAACACTCTGTAGATTGGGACAATATGTATTCTGAGCAGAGTTGATTTAACTCTGGGGATTTTGCTGTGCAGTATTGTCCAAACTCAAAAATAATCAAGTCACATGTACCATAATACCCACATACTTGAGTATCTGCAGTTTATAGTCTGGATCCTGCAGTTTGTGTTTGAGCAGCTGGACTCCTGATGGCCCTGGGTGATTGTAGCTCAGATCCAGCTCTCTCAGGTGTGAGGGGTTCGAACTCAGAGCTGAAGACAAATAACCACAGCCTTCCCCTGTCACCATACAGCCAGACAACCTACAGACACACATCAACAGAGGGTCACTGTCATGCAGAGTTTAGCTCCAACTGAATCAGACACACCTAAACCAGCTAATCAAAGTTTTCAGGATTACTATAAAGTTTCAGGTAGATGTGTTGGGGCAAGCTGGAGCAAAAATATGTTTTCAGGAGCTGTGACATCACTCTCCACCCCAGTTCGTATAATCGCACAAAACGGGTGCCATTCGTTTGTGCTCAATTTGTGCCGTTAAAAGACACCCTGTAACTATGACCGCTTCTTTTATATAACGAACATAAACTTTTTACGAACAGTGACATCACTTTCCACCTCATGCAATCTAAATCGTTCCAAAACAGTGCCATTCGTTTGTGCTTGATTTGTGCCATTCAAATTTACATTGTATCTATTTCCCGTTCTCAGAAATAACAAATACAAAATGGGGCAGTGACGTCACTCTCCACCCCATGCCGTCCAAATCCCTCCAAACCGGTGCCGTTCGTTTGCGCTCGATTTGTGCCGGTTTGTGCCATTAAAAGAAACAATGTAACCATGACCTCTTCTTAAATATAACGAAAACTTCACTCTCCACCCCATTGTTTTGTTTTTTTTTTTATTATTGTTCGAGCTTCCTTAAAATGTTTAAGTTAGTCAACTCAAATATCCACGTTTTCACTAACTTCATATTTCAATTTGACTAAGCTTAAATTTCAAGGCAGCATTAATTTGTAAAAGGTTTTTTTTTTTTTACAGTGAGTCTAAATTGTTCTAATCCATTTGTGCTCGACTTTTGCCATTAGAATATTGAACACTGGCTGTATTTATCCCCAGTAAAAAATAAAATCAATAAAAATGTATGCTAATTCAGGACGCTCTCCTTGCCAAATTGCCCTAAAACGGTTCCATTCGTCTGTGCTCGTTTTGCGCCGTTAAAATGAACATTCCATTTATTTCTCCTCCGTAAGACTTTACAAATATCTGGAGGAAAAGTGATGTCAAGCAAGCCGCTCGTCCAAATTCCTGTCTTCTATTGTTTGCAAATCTGCTGGTATGTTACAATGTTTTTCTAAGTTTTATTGCCAGTGATTTCATCAAGCTCCAAATCCAAAATGTTCTATGTGTGTATTACAGTGTTTGAAAATTTCTCTGCAGGCTATTGCAACTTATCACATGTCCGTGTTCTTGTTTGTTGCTAATCTCATTTGTTAATCAAAAAATTCAACATGACTAAATTAACTGGTTTATTCAAGTAACAAATATCACTGAATCAACCTAAATGCAATCATTTATGCCAAGGTATACCAACAAAACTATTTTATGTCAAGTTTACTTTGTACATTATAATTTCTATATAGCCTAATTCAAAGCAAGTAGCCTGACTTTACCACATGGACAATGCCTGTTTGCTCACGTAATACTGTGTATAATTATTTAAAACATGTTTTAATTTTTTTTATGTGTATTGCATTATGCATATTGCAGATGATGAAATATTCAGAGCATGAACATTATCATTGCTCAGCAGCATTTTATCTTTGAGGAATGCGTGAAGTATGAAGACAGTCAAGGTGTGTTTGTTTAAAATATTTCTTAATGAAATCAAATGAAATGTAAGTCTACTTTGACTTGCAAATCATAACTTAATGTGTTAAAAATGGCATAACACACACTCATGTGAGTTTTTGATTGCAAAATTTTATTGTTAAAAATAAATAAATGAAAATTTTGTAACAAAAAATAAATAAAATTCATTTTATTAATTCGTATATTCATTAAAATTAATTGAAACAAGTAGCCTAATCCTACAATGACAATATAAGCAAGAATTTAGTTGAATCAAATTAACTGTGAAAGTCGTTTCAACTTATTAAACTGACTTAAAAAATCA